GTAAGTAAGTTAAGTTAGTTGGTTGGTTGGTTGGTTGGTTGGTGGTCGGTCGGTCGGTCGGTCGGTCGGTCGGTCGGTCGGTCGGTCGTCGTCGTCGTCGTGTCGTGTGTGTGTGTGTGTGTGTGTGTGTGTGTGTGTGTGTGTGTGTGTGTGTGTGTGTGTGTGTGTGTGTGTGTGTGTGTGTGCGTGTGTAAAACACATATTTGTTACATGTGTTTGGCTGCGGTGACGAATGAAAAAATTTCCGTGTTGTACTGTTCTTTCTGCAATGTTCCACTGCTCTTTTCCTTGTTATTTACAATAGCAGAGCATAATCGATTACAAAGAAAGGATATTCTACGGTGTTCCTTGTTATTGTCGTTTAAACTCCGTGATTTTATAAGATTTGTTTACGTGCCATGATTGTAGCATGCTATAGGTCTTCAAATTGATTGCTTCTAAAAGAAAACGCTCATATACGGCAATCGATCACCGTACGCATGTACATGACTTGCGCTAACGAAGACAGTAGGCGCCGATACACCTTCCAGAATACGCACGTATTTAGATTCATAAGCGAGTATCGCAGCTGCAGGTAAACGATTTGCGCAGTCGCCTTGGCAAATGTGGTTCACCATGACTCTTGGGTCGTTGTTACAAATCCCCTGCATGCACACATGTGGAATACGAGTCCGTGCATAACTGTGAGAACACCCCCACACCAATTCAGAACAAATATTGTGCGATGATCGTGAGTGCAAATAATCTTCTCGGTGGCTGGACAATAGCTGTGGAGCGGCTCACTACCAAGCGCAAGACATTGTCACTGATTTTCAAACCAAAAACAAATATTGACTGAAACTATACACAGGAACTTATATTTGCCTGTAGGGCAATTTAACCCTATTAGAAGTCTCGGGAGCAATTCTCCCGGCCTCCATTCAAAAACTTAGCGGCCGGGATGTTTTTGCAAGGTGTCCTTTGTTGCACCTCACAAAGAACCTACGCGTGAAGGGCAGTTTTCCCAGGGAAGATGTTGGTGATGCACCCGGTCAGATTGTGCCCCTTACTGCTTGCCGCGATCTGGTTAGCCGCAATCACAATTAGGACACTTTTGTTGTTACCGGTTTCGTGTACTTAATCAAGTGATATTATTTGATCAGGTGTTTTCTCTGTGTGATCTTACTGCCGATGTAATTGATAAGTTTCAAACCTAGGCAACTAGAGGAAAGTTGTCTTTATGCGCGGACTATTGTGCATAAGTACATAGTCACAGGAAACACTTTAGGTGGAATTCACCAGACGATCCATAGGTGTCAGGCCCAAAGGAGCATGACAGAAGAATTAATTAGGGATACTTTAGTGCATATGCTATGTGAATTTGATTAGATTCGAATTACCAGCGATTCAAAGTATAATCTTCACACGAATCGTTCGCCGAAGGCATGATACGAACGCAGACAAACAGAATTTCATAATTTTATAATACATTTATGACGATTAATACTTTTTCGATATTTATAAGGCATGCATCTATTATATATTAGCAATATTAAGCAGTAAATATTTCTACATAAAAGCGTGATAAAAACTGCTGTTTCCTGAAAGTGCATGGCGAATGATTAGCGGTTAGGTTACTATAATGTGATCGCTTTGCCTGTGGTTAGGCATCCTGCGGTGATGGGCGATGGAAAAGCTGTAAGCGCGTCGTTACTTTTCTTTAGGGAAAGGCTACAGACTTTGAACTAGAAATAGGTCCTTTGCACGAATGTCGGCGGGTGTTCATAGGTCATGACATTTAGCTAGAAGTTGTCTTCCTAGATTTCTTTCAGAGGTGCGTCGCGATGAAACACGCGGATGGGAGATCTTGAGGCATGATTGCTCCCTAGGCTTTCAGACCTCTCAAAACGATACACGTCAGATTTACAGTTTCTTTGAGCCCAGGAGAAAAAGGAAAACCCCTTTACAGCTCCTAAGTTCTCGAAAATATTTCGCCTTCTTTCGACCACAAACGAAGTGTTCCGCACTGATTTTCTGCCCTCTGGCACGGCTAGTAACGCCTGGCCAGCATCGAGAGTTTTAAGTCGTTTTTCAAAAAAATAAGAACGCTGGTAAACATCGCTCGTCAACACACTAATTGAATCGCGGGAACGTCGCAGCCGTAGAGTGAACGACTGCCAGTCTGTAACCGCGTTAACGGCATTGCTGCTGACGGATGAATTTCATTACGAGAGTCTGATAGCTATATCGTCATCCCTGTCTGCGTCGGCGATAATCTCGGAACTGACGGACGTATACGAAACGTTAAGTAATTTAAGTTCATCGGCTATGAGACGCAGGTAGAACGACGATCGACCCTAACGCCCATATAGTCAACCTGGTGTGCGTGTGTGTGTGTGTGTGTGTGTGTGTGTGTGTGTGTGTGTGTGTGTGTGTGTTGTGTTGTGTGTGTGTGTGTGTGTGGTGATCGAGAGAGAGAGAGAGTAGAGATGAGAGAGAGAGAGAGAGAGAGAGAGAGAGAGAGAGAGAGAGAGAGAGAGATGAAGGCCGATGAGATCACTTCTGGATGTCTTGTGCAATGCAAGCAGCCGAGTGCGATCTTATAAGATCTTCAGCCGCCTTTATGTCAGACGATGTAGTGTGCCTTGTTAGTCGAACCATGGTTTGCCAGATGACTATTGGGAAGAATTTTATTGGTATGTGTAAATCAGTATTTATTAGAGTATATATTATTAGAAAATTATCTAGTCGCATGTCACCGTGGTTATGCCGGGGTCGCTCCCGTTCGCACTGGTAAACAGGCCACGCGTGAGGCTGTACTGTAGTTGATATAGCAACGTGACATTCACATCAAAGGCGGTGGAAGAAGACGCAGCCAGTGGAAAGAGGAGCGCGCGTTGACCTGCTGCGGACGCAATAAAGCGAGCGAGGCACACGCACGACTGAATCCCTGTCGCATCTGGCAGTCGGGTCGTCAGTAATTAGCTAGGTACTGCTCCTCGCATGGCAGGTTGGCGCTGGCCGGAAATAATCCATTACATCCGGCATGATCTCAATACGAGCTGTTCCACATAAAACTCGTAACGTTCGTCGTGGCATTCCGGCTAATGCTTTCCTATCAGATCAACAACGTACTCCTCCAAGATCTGTCGAATGCCCAAATTAATTTCTGTCATTATATAAACTCATTCGATCTGTTACGAATTGTGACGAGTTTTGTTGGAACAATGCACAACTGAACTCGCGCAGTATTATTATAAACAAGCTTCATGTAGGTTGTGTGCATTTACATGCTTACAGGACTTTACAGGCGCGCGTAATTTTGCTCCTGCGTCCAGCGCCGAGCACATGTCTGCATATATATATCTCGATTAGAGGCCTTGAACGGGTACATTTTGGCGGAGTAATGCCCAGACTATACTCTTATACGGCTAGAGTAATTTGCATATTATACGAGAGTCAGTGTATGCCAGTACAACGGACGCGAAACATTAAACAACTAAAATGAGCGAGTTCCTGGTATATCCTCAACCTATGGGAGCATTAGGATCAATTTGATAAGTGCATGGTGCTTGAAATTGCCGACTGCGTGCATGGTGGTTACTGATAAGTAGTAGGGAACACGAAGAGAAATGAAAATGTTTTCAAGCTCATCTTGAAGCCATTAATTTGTGGTACGAATTAGATGGATGAAGTTGACATATATTTACGTTGATATAATTCATCCAGTAAATCGGCCGATGTATGATGCGTAGCAGTAAAATGCGTTACTAAAGAGAGTTTGAAATTCGCGTCCGCAGGGGGTTTCTCATTTTCAGTCGCAGTGCTAGAAGGACCTTAGTGCTTACATGTCTCTACGATAATGTCGATTCAATGAAACAATATTTGTCTAGATTGTGCTGGTGAGCAATTAATATCTTGGCTCCGCCTGTTATATTTGGCATTAATTATAAATCATGCGCCGCACTTGAGGCACCGTCGGCGGTCGCAAAATAACGCCACTAGAATTGATTCATCGATGCTTCGATGTTAGACACGAGTATGTTTTTACTCGCGTGTTCAGCATTCGTTAAGTCGGCGGCGCTTGCTTGATTCATATAGCGAGCGAGCCTATAAGCCCGTCGCGTGCCCATCTCCGGGATTGGTATGGATCCAGCATTACTGTCTGCTGGAAGCAGCCGAAAGCTATTTCAGGATTTCTTACGACATAGCTTGTTGGCTTGCGTCTGGATAAAAACTAGCTGTTTGTCTTGTGGGTAGTTGTATGGCTGTTTTATGTCAGGGCACTATACAAACTCATATCACCGACAGACGTATATAAATCCTGAAATAGTTCTCGGCTGCTGAGTGAATGTAAAATACAAATGCA